GAGGTGTTGCAGTGCCTGGGATGGAACAGGATGCGCAACACATCCCTGTACCCGCAATCGGACGTTATAGTAGAGCGCTACATCAAAACACCTGAGGAACACCTATGACATGTCATTGCATTGCATCAGAGGGATTAGGAAGCAAGATTGCCCATCTTCCTCATTGCTTATATGACATTCACTCATGGTACTATTGGCTTGGCTCCGGCTGGTGGTCTAGTGTTTGGAAGAGAACTCTGACTGCCCGGCGAAATTACTGTTTGGGGCACCCCCAGACAAGGTATGACCCACAATCGATCACACAGCAGATTTAGCGGACCATCTGCACTCCATCCACAATTATGCTGCCAACACCTTAAGCTGGACAGTGACTGGACAAAAACTTGTTGTGTTGTTGTGTTGATGGCCACAGCACCACAGATCCTGGCACACAGCAGGATGCAAACAATAAAGGTTATAGGAATCTTCTGCGTCAAAATGTAAGCCAAACAGGTAGCCAGCAAGAAGCAGGCTTCAGACAAATCCTACTGCTTCTTGCTAGTTGCTTGCTGGACTTATTCCTTGTCCTCAAAGATGGAGGCAGTGTGTTTCTCTGAAGTGTCAGCGCTCTTCTACGGGGCAATGCATTGTGCATCCCAGAAGTTTGAAGTTTGAAGTTTATTAGTTTTACAATTTGAAGAGATGATAATAATTTACTTATTATCAGAGCACTTTAAATGTTATACTTTTGTAACTATATCATACATATTTGAAAGGTGAGACTGGGCTATGGGCTGGATGACCATAGTTCGATTCCTGGTAAGTGTATACCATGTCCAGTATGGCTCTGGAGCCTACCTAGCCTTGTGTCCAGTGGTACAGGATGGTCTATGCCTGATGGTAAAGCAGCCAGGATGTGACTAACAATTTACCTTCATCCAGTGCCAGTTTTAAGTATTTATTGATCTATATCTCAACTTACCCATGCAAATTCATGATGTGATGCATAATTAAGCACAGGAGTAACTTTACCTTTACCTACACATACGTTAACCTTCCTGTCATGAGAATTTCCAGCATGTGACAAGGCAAACCTGGAATTCCCTTTGCCTCTTGAACACCATACCTTTGTTTTACAAATAATAGTCAGATACACACCAGGGAATTGTGAGCCAAGTGAAAGGGACCCTTCCCATCTTTCTCATGTTGGTTTCATAATAATGATTGGATATTCTGACACATTCTCATATTTCTGGCGTAAAAAATCTGTAGTTTAAGGAAATCCATGTATGTTTGTACAGTGTATTTAATAAAATTATATGGTACAGTTAAAGCAGAATAAATTAAATAAAATAAACATTGAGCTTGGAAACTCAGAATCTTTAAGTGGTGCTTGTTGATGGAGTGGGAGATTATAATCTGCATGGGAGAGATCCTATCATGACTGACAACATTCTTGAAGAATTGTTGCAAGATATTGAAGGAACGCCTGTTCATCACCACTGCAAAGTGAAAATGATGTCTTTGATGCATGTGTCCCACCCCCTACCCATAAAGACACTTTGCAGTGTGCACCACGATGAACAACTTGTCAGCACACCACCCTGGCCCCATGGGTAATCTATTTAGTTGCATGACAGTATTGAGAAACGTAGGACTTCTGCAAAGATGGAAGTGTGACAGATGAAAATCAGTGACAGTCTATATTAGAGTTGAACAGGCATGTTTACGTGTATATTGTCACGTGTTGGGTATATGTCATGCGACAAATAACCTACTGCCTTACTTGATATAGCGAATTTATTGCACATTCGCTCTTACAGTCTCACAATTACTGCCATCAGCAGTATCACAATTACTTCCACTGTTTCCATTCACTCTGGCGAATGCTAGACTTGCAACTGTCTTCGGCGGCTGCTATATTTCAACTCTGGTTATACTCTCTCTAGTAACTGGTTCACTAAACACTACTGAATCGTGTTCGCTGCTCCTTATTTAGCCTCAGCATGGACAACACAGAAAACAGTTACGTGATAAGTACCACTGTTGCCTGACGCCATGTTTACAAGTGTTGCTAGCAACACTGGGGAGTTGTTTACAGCTGTGTAGTAACCACTGTGTTCCTTGTTACGTCACCGCAGCAATGGTTGCCTGGCGCAGCCGCTCCTCTGCCACGTCACCGCGGGGGGGGTGTTAACCGAGTGTTGCGTACTGGTGGAAGGAGTGGGGGTATGTGATGTCACTTGCAAGGCCACAGAGTTCATGCCCCCCCCCCCACTTCCGTTGCACCATCCATGTCACAATATTATATTGTAAATAATTCTCTGACTAGTTCTAGTTTTAATATTCTGAAGTGTAGTCAGTAAGATCACATAGAAATATTTCACCATCATTTTCGTAGAAGTGTATGCTAATGTTAAGTACTGCTAGAGCAAAAACATGGGGTATTAGCATTTGATATTGGTTATCTGATTAAATGGTCTACATTTGAGTGGAATTACAAATGGACCACTTAGTTCACATTTCATGATTTGTTGCAGAGATTTCAGTGTCAGACTTTTCTTTAGATATTGCAGTTACAGTCTAGGTAACTTGAAAATGTTTTCTTTATATCAGACATATATTTTCTAAGGTGGTTAAATAGATAGATCTGATTCCTGAAGTATTTTCATCTTAGTGTGAAGAGTTAAATTTTAGTTCCATATTATCTCCGTGTTAGGATTTTCCTGTATCTTCTTTTTCTTTTCCCAGGCTTAGTCAGAGTCACAAGCCTTTTGACATTTTTTATCATTATTGTTGATCTTGTGTTGTATAATTATGTTCATTCAGTATGGGGAACCAAACTGTAGTTAACCAAGGAAAGAGAACAAGTAAAGTATGGATGTATTTTAAGATGATGATAGAAGGAGAGTTTAAAGGCAGGTGGGAGCAAATAATGCATAAAGACAATGATTAAACATAACTTACATGCTTTACCATGGCAAAACAAAGTTTTGTGGAAAAGAAATGTCTTAAAATGTTTTCTTTTGAGAATACTGTCACATGATAGAGTGACTCTTGATGGGGTTTTGGATTGGATATTGGATTTATTGCCCACCTTGACACATGATACATGATTGTAGCACCATCCCTGATTTCCACACTTTACAGTTCACTGGAGTATGTGCTAAATCTTTTCCTCCCTGCAGTGTCTTCAGTAGTAGTTGCCTGGTAACAGCTCCAACAATTGTTATTCCTCTGCTTCTGTGCTCAAGTCCTCTCTGAATGACAGATCTCTTCCATCTCTGATTCTTGCAGTTGTCCTCCTTATGACCCCTCAGCACGGTCCACCATAGAAGACACCATTTCTAACAGTACCTCCACTGTTGAACATTGACTCGTTGCTGTGGAGACATATTTGTTTGCTTTTGTTAACTAGTAATGGGTCCTGTTGGTCTGGAGGACTCGCCAAGTGAAGATAGTTTGCTTATAGTAGTAGTCTAGTGTTCTCCTGTTTACATCCAAATATTCAACTTTTTTAAATGTTATAGATCTTGAAGCTTTTCAGCAGCATTCCATTTCTAACCATTCAAGTTTACTGACCTCTACTGAAGAAAACCATCCAGAAATATCAGGATTTTTTGGAAGAAAAGATTTTGTGTAGCAGAATGTTGTATTGGTTTAAATTTTGGAGGCGCTTGGTTTGAGTCTCAGCTGCAACATGGACTCTCTTGATTGAAGTTGTTTGTAATTTTCCCAGATTGCTCCAGACAAGTGACTGAGGCCATGAAAACTTATTTATGAATACTTTCCAATTCCTTATTCATCAGTCATCCTACCATTAAGTGCTATATATTGTAGATAGTGATAGTGTAATAAAATAAACAACAAAAAGAATTGTGCACAATTTATACTTTGCAAGGAAGAAAACCTAAACTCAGCATTGTCACTGTGATGAAATATTATTTTATTTATGACCTGCACACATCTTACAAGAGTTTTTGATAACTCCATGGGGTGAGCACAAATGATGATATGTTTTTGGAAATTTATTTCAAAGCAGTCAGGCAAAATAAGTGCAGCAACCTAACATTTGGACAAACTACAACTATCGAAGTTTATTTTTCCACTCAAGAGGTGTTCAGTATGCATAAATGGATGGCGTAAAAGGTTGTTCCATTCCAAACTCTGTCCAGTAGCATCTTTATACTTGTTTCACACATTTGGTTTTGTTAAACCACAAGACACCACACTCTTCTTCTGTCAGTGAGCCTCATAAACACTCTCATACAATTTCTTTACCATCTCTGCAGCAGTAAATAATGAGCATGGTGCTAATACTGATCATTGAGTTCAAACTGCTAGTGGCTCATATTTGCAGAATTGCTGAAAGCTTAGTATCTTACTATAAGAGAGGTGCTGTAACCCAAGCCTCATGTCCAGTCCTTGGGGAATGGTGACCTACCAGTGGAATTTTGTCATTTTGAAGTGTTTCACTTGCTTCACAGTGACTTCAATGATAGGAAAACATTCATCACATTTTGTAGCTATTGTATTTAGCCTGAAGGCAAATCTTTTAATATTTTACATTTTAGGCAAGGTGCTCTATCTGTATATGGAATGCCAGATGAACATGATTCTTATGAAATTAACTGGTCTGTATGAATAATGCATGGTGCTCCTCAGGAACATACTCTGTTTAATTTGAGTGCATTGTTATCAGGGCTGGTGATAAACATATAGTCATTTGACATTAATGTAAAGGTGTTATAAAATTTAAATGTGACATGGGAAAAATATGTTCAGTATAGTTATCTTCATGTTACTGTGAAAATAATTTGTACATATGTATATTTCTGTGGAACAGGTTTTGTACAGAATCATTGATTTAGACTGGTTGTCTTAGTCTTCACAATTTTGGGGTGGGGGGGAGCATTTCATTGCTATCCTGTATGCAGAAGCATAATCTTTATAATGCACTTTTTGGAATGGACTACACTGGTCATGTAGGAAATTATGTTTATTATCCATCTGCTATACAGGAGGGCCAGATTCAGCAGGTTCCATGCAAGGTGTTTGTGGGTCGGTGCACTGAGGACATGCAGTCTGAAGACTTGCGCGAGTATTTCTCCAAGTATGGTGAAGTCACAGATGTTTTCATACCCAAACCATTTCGAGCATTTGCATTTGTAACCTTCCTGGATCCAGAGATTGCCCAGGGTCTGTGTGGAGAGGACCACATCATCAAAGGTGTGTCGGTTCATGTGAGTAATGCTGCCCCAAAGACTGATCCAAATGGACGGTCATATGGTGGTGGGGCAGGGGTGGGGGCTGGAGGACCTCGGGGTGGAACTGGTACTCGTGAGCCAAAAAACTTGGCAGGCCCCTTCGGTGGGGGGGCAGGTACAGCACATCATTATCACCACCAACATCATGGGGGCCCTGGGGGCAGCAACATGGGAGCCGGAGCAGGAGGCTGGAACCAGGGTGGTCCAGCTAACAGAGGGAACATTGATATGCCAAATCTTCAGGCACTGGGTATAACAGGTCAGCCAGGAGCTGCAGGTGGTGGTGGGGCACAGAATATGAATAATCCATTAGGTATGGGAACTCTGAATTTGGGAGCTCTACCTATGAATCCAGCCATAGTTGCTGCAGCATTAAATCAGGCAGGTTGGGGACTGATAGGAAATTTGCAAGGGAATCAGGCACCGGGGGGTGGAGGTGATGGTACTCCTCAAGGATTTGGCAATCCTGCAACAACAGCAGGTTTTGGGGCAGCACCAGCAGGACCACAGCAAGGGGCAGCACCACCTGCAGCAACAGGTCAGGCAGGGGGTGGGTTTCTTAGTTGGATGAATCAAGGGGCAGCAGGAGGAGCAAGCGATGCTGGTCAGGGTGCAGGTGCTCCAGGATCAAATGCTCCTCAGCAACCTGGTTCCTGGCCTCAGAGAGGAAATAAGCAGGAGAGCTTCCTGAAATATGAATGAGTATGATGCTGGAAAAATACATAAAATTGCATACAACTGTGCTCACGTATCACTCATTCATCCTGTCATCATTTATTTGCAGACTTTGGGACAAAGAGTGAATATTCTGGAAAACATTAACACATTCTTAAATATAATTAAATTTTTAATTTAATTTTAGTTTCCTATTGTGAAAGGAGCTATAATGGGTGAGTGATATACTTGGACTTGGTTGTATGTTGTGTGTTTGGCTCTTGAATGTGTTTTAGATCCAGGGTGAAGAAACAAATGAAAACAGTCTAAAGTATAAAGCAAATTATCAGTCCCTTTTTTATTGTTGACAGTTAAAATTATGTCTGCATCTTTGTAGTGTATTTGCTCACAGTTATGATAAAGTTTAATATACCACAATACACACGTGACTATCTTTCAGTGTTTCACTGAAACTAGTATTTCAGCTAGGGCCAGTTATAGGGTTATGTAGTCATTTATTTAGTATATCCTGTCAAGAATTATGAGCAAAAATGCTTAACAAAAGTTCTATCATTCTGAAAAGTTTAAAATCTGTTATCTTTTTGCATTTCTTTTTCAAACACTAAGATATGCTGAGAGATTACATCCTCAGAAATGTTGTAAGACATCAGTCATATATACCCTTATGCGGAATTCTTTTTGTAACCCATTAAATTATGTGTACAATTACATATACAAGAATTTTATTTGTATACCTTATGGTCTTTATTGTCTATACAGGAAAATTTGTAGAATAGGCTCTTTACAATTTTTGTAATATTCTTAGGTATAAGCATGGTTTATCTGTAAAATAGAATCTTTGATTTTGCTGTGTTTCAAGCATATTTACTCAGTTCTTGGCTGTTCTGGATATTATCTTTCATTCATATTATGAATTTGCTCACATGAGATTTAGCTCATACACGTCTCTGCATAACTACCCATTTATGTTTCTGAATGGTATTGTGACATTAACTGTACCTCAAGCTTTTCTGGAAAAAAAAAAAAAAAAAAAAAAAAATCTTATACCACCGACATTGTACAACAGACAACTCATTCATCTGTTATTTTTGTATGGGATGTTTGCCTAGAATGTGGAAATATCTAATTTTACTGTCTGTTAATTTGAAAGATTGGAGAGCTACGGAAGCAGGCATAATGTGTACGAGAGGGTTTGTGAATGGTGTGCATTGTAATTTATAAACTGGTAAAAATGCTGCAAACATGGTTTAGAGTGAGGGAAGGCTGACTGGTAATCTGAAGGATTCATGCTGTACTTCCATTTGATACAGGATACATCCAGGTACTGCCATTGCAATTTGAGTTTTGGTTTGACACGTTTACGTAGACAGTGCTCCTATCATGGGAACAACATAACATAAAGAGTGGAATATTTTTATTAAAAATGTGTTTGTGCTGCAGTAATGACAGAAATTTCATATGACACAGTGATGATGAAAGTAGTGGCGATAGACCTGTCACATAAAATTAGGGTATAGAATTGTGAGTCAAAAGAATATGCTTACATGACTGTTCCATTGCATCTCAAAAATATGTATTTATGTTTGACTGTTACTCATTAGAATCTTTATGATGTTATGTCATCAGACATGAAAATTTGGGTATGTTATATATGATTTCTGGGCCTTTCATGTACTCTTGTCATTTGTCATCCCATTTAAATATATTACAATTGTAACATTACAAAACATAATTTTGAAAAATGACTACTGCTCTCATGTGATCATTTGGATGTCATGTTCCTCTACAGTAATTTTCAAAATTGGCCATAATTATATATTGGCTGGTTCATCTGTGTGAAGTCAGATATTCCACATTCTCCTTTTAGTTGTATTTGTACAGAAAATTGACAGGAAATACTTGTCATTTGCATTTTAATGAAGATGGGAATAGCATCTTATTTCAAGCTATACTAGAACTGTTGTTATTTTCAGTTTTCTGTATATCGAATGATAAGTAAGAATCAGTGTTTACTTTACTTCTGCTTTATTAAGACTTAGGTAAGTCATAGCAAAGGATATATTTGGGCGCGTGCACATGGCTAAATACATCAGTGATTCTATAGCCTGTTGATATGGCACATTATCTAAATTCTTATTTGATTTTCTTATTCCACGACCTAGCGGCTTGTTTTAGTCTGTAAACTGATTTTCTTAATTTGCAAACTTTATTAGACTCCCACTTAATGTCATATTTTTTAGGAAGCTTCATATATATAACTTTTTTCAAGATCTCCGTTTAAAAATGTGGTACAGATGTCAAGGTGGTCAATGTTCCAATCATGCTTTGCAGCTAAAGCAAATAACAATCGCATTGAAGAATGTTTCACCACGGGAGCGAAAGTTTCAAAATAGTGTATTCCTTCTGTTTGGCTACAACCTTTTGCCACTAAACGTGCTCTGTGACATGCGACATTTCCTTTAGCATTTCATTTAATTTTGAAGACCCATTTTGATTTCACTACTGGCTTATGGGTTATGGGCCCAGGATCATATCATTGATAAGTGACTTAATAAAGCAGGAGTAGAGTGAACACTGATTCTTACTTATCATTCGATCTACGGGAAACTGAAAATAACAGAACTTAACATCAAATGCTTTGAGTCTTTGGTTTTAAGCTTGGTGAAAGCAGTGTTTGGAGTTTTATAGTTAATTACTCAACAGTATATATTCATGAGAGACTATTTTACAAAAAGCTATGTTGCTTTCACCTTGAAAGTTAAAATTCTCCCAGCAGTGAAGGAACTGTATTGTAAGAAATTTGAAATGAGTTAATGAAATTTCCAAATATAAGTGAAGAGGAAATGCTCATTTGTATTGAATGTATGCAGGTTCCAGTGTTCCTGCTGACTGTATCTTGTGTTAAATGGAAGTGCACAAAATCTTGTGTTTTTTATATATAATTAACACAGTGTGTTTGTGTGGAAAATATATATATATTTTTTTTGTTCTTCCCCTTTAAAAGTAATGTTTTGTTGTGTGGTATCTGCTTCTGATGCTTTCCTGTTAGTGTATCTGAGTGTGAACTCTTCTGTATTTGTACATGATTGGGAAGAATTGTTGCATACACTTGAAAAAGAAAAAACAAAATTGTACAAAGTTATTGTAAAGTTTTTGAAGAAATGTGTGTGATAATAGTTGAAAGAGATTTAACTGGAAAGCAAGTGAGAAAGATGAAAGAAGGACATGAAAGCTGAAGAAATCTTATGTGTGCTTTTGAAGTGAGGATCAACTGTGTGTTTATAGAAAAATATTAACATAATATCGACACCAAAAAATAAAACATAATTAAAATATTTGTTCTTTTGTCACTTGTTTGAGATTATGAATTAACCTCTTAAAGCATGAACAGTAGGCCTATAAGATGATTTTGCATAGATTAGAAGCAGGAAATTTCTTTGTACGGGACTACATATTCCATGCTTCTTATACACTACAATTGAAAATTCTGAGTAAGGATCATGTATGTAGTTAATTGTATTACTTTCTTTTCCTTCAAAGAACTGGATGAAGCTGCAAGAAAATGTTAGAAGTTATTTTGGGTTGGAGTTTGGCAGCAGACGGGATTGCAGTGTCTAGATTCTCATTTTATTTGTTGTTATACATTACTAGCAAATTAAATTATGGAAATTCTTGTGTCTCATGCAGGATCTTGTGCTACATTAAGTCCAGCAGTTACCTATGACATGGTAAATTTTGTTGATGAGAACTTACCATATGGTTAACATTGATTTTTCTGTTTTTAGGAATGTGAAATAAGAATGATGAAACGTTATTTGCTGGTCGAGAAAAGTTGCACATTTTAGCCCCATTTTTTCTTGCATTCTGTGTCTGTGTGGCTGCTACTGTTCAAAATGTTTTCCCCTTTAAATAGTCATTGAGAGATGAAACATTTTAATGGAAAATGGCTTTGTAATATCTGTGCTGTGTTAAGAAGTGCACCTTTCCACATATTGTTGTTATTGCCTGGAAGATGCATGTCACAGCACAACAAGGAATGTTGGTAATACACATCTTTATAACATAGTCACAAAACCCTAAAACACTTGCTACAAGTTGTTGAAACAGGTACATAAAAACATTGCAATGAGACAATGAAAACAGTATTAGCATTACCCATAAGAAATTGTTGGTAAAACTGGATATTCAGTTTTTACTATAGGCTAGTTGGCAGTATTAATTCTACAAAAACTTATGAATTTGAAGTCCAGTTAGTGGAAAAATACAAACAGAATCTAAATACCTTTTTGATATTTCATTGAAGCAAGTCCTCTGTTAAGTAGACCAAATTTACATACAGTACCTTCAAATTACACATGTCCAAATGTGCATAGGCTTCTTTTTAATTAATTTTGTTCCTAGTTCGGTTCTGATGCCTGTATGGATAATATAATACAAAGTACATTTTTCTATCAGAATTATTGGGTTTTTGGACTTTGGCCATCATCTGGTATGCTAAAAAACTTGATAACAGAATGTTTCAGAAACTGGATCTGTTTCCTTCCTAAGGTGGGCGGAGACACCTACTCCGTTCGGTCCCTTACAAAGAGCTAACCTCAGTCACTGAAACCAAGAAAGAAAGGGAGGTGAACATTTTACGGAACAAACCTATCTAAGATACCAAGTCCAGGAATACCATTGCATAGGATTAATGGGATAATTTGTGAAACCATTTTGTGCCACTTTGAAGTAAAAATTGAACACTCATGAGTGAAACCTCACAGAAGCCCATGAAGAATCTGTCACATCATTCTGATCTTTGTAAGTTGCCGACCACATGGCTAGAGGTCTGCCTATTTCACCAACGTAGCTTCTGTCACATTCACAGAGAATGCTACAGATGCATTGCACATTTGTTGCAGATTTCTTTCAGACTTCTAGTTGTGCAACTCCATGAACTTAGGCACATTATCAAAGACGGGTGTAGGGTAGGCTGGGATGAAGCTAGGATTTTAGAAATTGAAAGTAACAGCAGGTATAGGAAGTACAAAGAATTGGCCTATATGGCATTCTTCACAAATTTGATAAGCCAGCTGAGCTTGAACATTTCTCCTGCCTGGTTCGCCCTTATCAGCAGTAAGGTTAGCACTCAACAGAGAAGGTCAGTATGATGTGCTAGATTCTTCACAATCTTTAGTTTTAGTCCTGAATGTTCAGTTTTTACTCCAATGATGGTGGTGGCAGCAGGCACAGAATGGTTTCACAAAACTTTCCAATTGTTTCTATGCAATGGTTTTCATGGGCTTGGTTTGTTGCATAAATTTTCACTTCCCTTTCTATCTTAGTTTCTGGTCTGTGCATGCTTTTTCACAATTTCTATTGTATATTTTTCCTGTTAGAAGCCAGGATAGCACAGTCTGTAAAGCAGTTGATATAGCAACTGGCTACAGGCTGAATGACCAAGGAGTTGGAGTTCGAGTCCCTGTAGGGTCAAGAATTTTCTCTTCTTCACATCATCCAGACCAGCTCTGGGGTCCACCGAGCCTTCTATCCAGTGGGTAACAAGGACTCTTTCCCTGGGGTAAAGTGGCAGGAGTGTGATGCTGGCCACTCACCCCCCGCTAGTACTGAGGTCAGGAAAATGTGGATATATACAGCCACTCCCCCCTACACCTTCATGGCATACTGCTTAATTAGTTAAGCACAGAGGCAACTTTACCTTTTGACCTTATATTCATGTTATCTCCCTTCAACAAAACCTGGTCTCAGGTATTTAGTTAGCTGTAGTTACACTGAGAAGGCTTGTCCAGTGATTGAGGTGAGCTCTAAGGGACCCAACAGAGTAGTCGTTTCCACCCCTCACCTGAGGATGGAAACATCCAGTTTCCAAAATGTTGTGTTCCTGTAGTTTTTTAGAATACTAGATGATGGAGAAAGTCCAAAAACCAAGTAATTCTGAGTGTTATACACCATCATCAGAACCCTTTAGAACCTACTTCAGATAATCATCGTCATCACCACCACACTACAGGAAA